ATAATGCATATTTAATTTGATGCAATCCACGCTATTTTTGCAATAATTATCTACGCATGAGCAATGTTCTAAAAGTCGCTAGGCGCTGGACTAGCGCCTAGCCGGCGCCTAGTCGAGCCTAGAAATCAATATTAATACATTATTTTTTATCTATTTAACTAGCTACAAAATAAAATTATCCCAACTTATAATAAATCGACAAACTTAAATCCAAATAATAAAATTAATATTTTTTAAAGAAATAATGAGAATAAAATAATGTAATTAGTATTTAAAAAAAAATAAAAAAAAAATTACTACCGAGCCCGCCTAGGAGCGCCTAGGTCCGCCTAGACGTCGCCTAACCGCCTGGCCGCCAAGTCCGCTTAGGAGCGCCTAGGGCCGCCTAGGCCCGTCTGACCAATTTTTTCTGCCAATTTGTGTAAATCAGAGGCGCCCGGGCACCACTTAGCCCCGTCTAGGCGGCCGCTTAGGCCGAGGTTTAGAACAGTGCGCATGAGTCAACTTTCGTAGGATTTCAAAGATACTTTATCTTTTTATATATTAAAAAAAATATTAGTCTCATTAAAAAAAAAAACATTTCTTTAGGAAATGAGAAACTAAGATCACATGCACACAAAAACAAAAATGAAAACGAAAACAAAAAATGAAAGATAGATGAGTCAAAATTCAGTAATTCTTCATCATTCTAAGAGCCAGTTGTTGGAGCTCGTCACTCAGTTCAGCATGCGATGGGTTGAAGTTTTGAAATGCAACTTGTTCGTGATATGGGCCTGACGGTCCGATTCCAGTTCCTGGGCCGTTATTAATTTCTGGGTCATCGATCAGGTTTTGGGCCAGGTGGGCCTTCATCTGCATCACTTGCTCTTCCAAATATTCCACCTATTTTTATTTTAAATAACCCCCGAAAATACTACTAATTAAATGAAACAAAATAATGAAAGTAAAAAAGAAGTAAATGATATTCAAACTAAAAAAAAAAAAAAAATTAAAAAAAAATTGTACTTCGAACTCAAATACTCAAGTGAGACGACTCCCGCCAAGATATTGTATTTTACAAAAAAAAAGCCATCACAAACTAACCTAAAGTTTTAGCCAAGTTAAAAGGATAAAAATCATTTAAATTTTTCATATTTATCAATTTATGATTAGAGGAATTATTAGCACTAATTATGCAGGGTCACTTAGGTCTGAAACTGTAAACGAGTTTAGCCGAACTCAAGCTCGTGCTACTCGATATCAATATTAACGAATTGAATCGAGTTCTAACAAACTGAGTAATATGAAACAGCATAAAAAGAATTATTTTAGAGCATTAAACAAACGAGCTCGAGCTTGACCTGATTTCAAATGAGTCGAAGCTTTTACAGTGGGAAAAGTACAAATCATGGAGCGCTATGTACATACATAAGACAATATTCTAAAATAGAAAATAAAATTAGTACACTAATATATTAATTATATATATATACTGACCTGGTGTTGCAAGGCGAGCACTTGCGAGACGCAGCCATAGATGGGGTCCTTGAGCCTTGACTGAGCCTCGAAGGCAATTGTGACGACGGCGTCTCGTCGGGCGGCCGCCGGAACGTGGGCGAGCAGCTTGGCGGCGTTGCTGGCGCCGAACACCTTATGGATGGCGGCGAAGCTCTCCGGGCCCTGCTCCGAGCAGAAGTACGGCCCGAATATGCAGTCCGGCGGGCACTTGCGGCGGAGGAACCTGCACGCGCCGCACGGGGAGGCCGCCGTCCCACTCGCCATTAAAGTGGAGTGTGATTAACAAGAGATTAATTAAGAAGGATTAATTACAGATAAGAGTGTGTGTGTGTCTGTGTGT